AACCCAATTCAATTGGGACTTTAAGGAGAATTCTTCTCGAACAACATTGTTTTTGTGCAACTTTTAGAGCAAATTAAGGCATGCTTCTTTCAAGGTATTTTTGGCCAGAAAAGGGAACATGTCTTTCGGGTGGATGTGGTGATGAAAGATGCATATGGTTTGCCGATACTAAATCGTTTTCGTTGTTCAATAGTCCTCAAAACAAATTTGAGTTAAAATAATTATGGAAAATAAAAACATGTACACTGAAGCTCAAATGAGAGTATTTGGGTAAAACATGGAATTCTCATCACTAATCTACAGCCACACATTGGTCAAGTCTTCGCGACCACAATATAGAATTCTCACCATTAAACTACATAGATCAAATTCTCACAATTTAAATTTTTTATTAAATTACTCCTAAATACTTAGGAGGTTTGATTTTGATGACCAATATCAAAGCCACCAGTGTTAGATTCAAATTCTAAATCTAGGTGACCAATTTCAAGTTCTCTAGGGTAAAAGAAACAATAAGCATTTATATAACAATGTCAAAATCAATCATAAACTTTCTCTTACTGCCATAATTTTATGAAACATTTGCTTGGAGAGTGCCTAAAATATAAGTGAAAGGTATCTCAAATTAAGCATGGAAGAATAACATTTCATGTTTCTAAATTAAATGAGTGAAGTATTTTTCTTCAATCTGGCATGAACAATTGGATTCCCGAGAATTCTCACAACTCATCATGATTTTCATTTCTTCCATCGGGTGTTTAGGTCAAAAAATGCAATCACATACAATCATGGTGCCTATCTTTTCATAAGACATTATGACCTTATTCTCTACTTCAAGTTCGAGTAAAGTTTGATGTGTAATACTTCTCTATATACAACCATACATACATACATGGACCCACTAAGTGAGCCCATATACATACCCCTGTGTCTAACTGCAGGTTAGTGTACGCCAACATTGTCAGAAGCCACAAAGGGAAAATGAGCGTGCATAATATCATCGTGTACATAATAAGGAAGTGTACACATGTGTACCAATCATAACAAGGAAGTATCTCAATACATGTGTCATGCAAAATGCATGAGGTCTCACAGTTTCGAATCATGATATATAGTTATGATGCAAATCATACATCCATTCTTTTTACGACATAATGTTCCTATGAGACATACATACGTATACTGAACATATCTTTTATGGTTAATCTACATGGCTTGCCAATGTCTCATAGGCACAGCGTGAACATGTTAACATAATATGCATGGTGTAATATATGGAGGTTCATGCATTATATATCATCCATATCACAACGTAGATTCACAGCATAGTATCATTCATATCATAATATAAAGTGTCACATAGAACAACACATATTAACAAGGGCTACAAGACACTTGTCATTCATACAACATAAAAGTAATCCAACGTGGACCATAAGCACCAATAGTTTTACTTTTATGTTCAAGATGTGTGACTAAACTGAAACTATCAAACTAAAACTTACATTATGTAATAACTTCAACTATTTTTCCTGTTCTCTATTTTCATTACATCTATTCGTATAAATAATTTTGAAATAATCAAACTTTGCATCGGTTTAAAATTGATAATACTACTTGCACATGGATTTCATTATTATCCAAATCGAATAAATGAATGAAATATTAATATATTAAAAATAAAAAAAAAATGTGTCATATTGGTATGACTCTGAGGTCTTGAGTTCAATTCTTGGAATACTTGAATGTGGTCTTAAGATTCTAACAAACTCATAACTTTACTACCGACATACTCATTGACTCATGTAGTTTTATGAACGCGTCCAACTTCATTAGTTTTGTCATAATATATACAACTAATTTGTTCTGCGTCCAACTTCATTAGTTTTGTCATAATATATACAACTAACTTGTTCTTGTGTAACACAATGCTTCAGCTCAATAACTCCATCTCTGGTCAAATCATGCATGATTGTTTTTTATAAACTCTCCTCATCCACACCCCTTGACAAGCACAGGCAGCTGCCACAATTTCTGCTTCAGTAGTAGACAAAGTAACTACAAGTTGTTTTTTGGAGGACCAAGACATAGTTCCATCACTAAGTAAGAACACATAACCAGAAGTGTTTTTCCTGTCATATATATCTCCTGCAAAATCACGGTCAGTATATGCTATCAACTCTCCATTACCCGTTTTCTGATAAAGAACTCCCAAATCTATAGTCCCTTTTAAGTATCTCAATACCCTTTTTGCCGTGCAAATGCAACTTTGTTGAATTTGCCATAAATCTACTAATGAGAGACTCTACATACATTAAATCCAACCTTGTTGCAATAAGATACATTAAATTCATCCTTTGTTAGCTTCACCCCAGGAACAACATCGTTTTTCATACTATTACTTTTTTCATCATAAACTTGTCCAAAACTTCTTTTGCATATTTTCTCTAACTAATATAAATGTCTTCAGGATTTTGTAAAATCTCTACACCGAGAAAATATTTCATTTTTTCTTAGATCAGTCATTTCAAATTGAAGTTTCAAAGAATTCTTGAACTTAACAAATATGCTCTCATCATTACCAATAAAAATTAGAACGTCAACATATAGACTAACAATCAAAATTTTACCTCTATCTCTTGTTTGTATGATTAAAGTATGGTCACAGTTGCAGCTCTCAAATCCTTCTATGACGAAATTTGCTTCAAGTCGACTAAATCATGCACATAAGGCTTGTTTAAGCCATATAATGTCTTCTTCCATTTGTATACCTTGTATTCTTAAAATTCACATGCATAATTTGTTACGCGGAAGCTCATCATAAATAACCTTGGAAATATTTCATAAAGATTCATAAATCCTAAACAAACCTATCTCCGAAAATAAACCTTGAATAACTGAATTCAAAATAAATCTAAATAAAACAATACTCAATGCTATAACTTAAGATAGTCAAATAAACGAAAACTCCTAAAAATATCCCATTTCCAACTTCCATGGTGTCCTCAGCTCTGCCATCAACCGTACATTGGCGCCTTGCCTTTATATGAAAAATGTAGGTATCACGTGGCTTGAGCATGCATGCATAATTTGTTATGCGGAAACTCATCATAAATAACCCTTGGAAATATTTCATATTCATAAATTCTAAATAAACCTATCTCCAAAATAAACCTTCAATAACTGAATTCAAAATAAATCTAAATAAAACAATACTCAATGCTATAACTTAAGACAGTTAAATAAACGTAAACTCCTAAAAATATTCCCTCTCCAACTTCCATGGTGTCCTCGGCTCTGCCATCAACTGTATATTGGCACCTTGCCTTTACCTGAAAAATGTAGGTATCACGTGGCTTGAGCATGCAAGCATAATTTGTTACGCGGAAACTCATCATAAATAACCTTGGGAAATATTTCATAAAAATTCATAAATTCTAAATAAACCTATCTCCGAAAATTAACCTTCAATAACTAAATTCAAAATAAATAGCTTTAACTTAAGACAGTCAAATAAACGTAAACTCCTAAAAATATCCCCTCTCCAACTTCCATGGTGTCCTCGGCTCCGCCGGCAACTGTACATTGGCACCTTGCCTTTACCTGAAAAATGTAGGTATCACGTGGCTTGAGCATGCAAGCATAATTTGTTACGCGGAAACTCATCATAAATAACCTTTGGAAATATTTCATAAAGATTCATAAATTCTAAATAAACCTATCTCGGAAAATTAACCTTCAATAACTAAATTCAAAATAAATATAAATAAAAAAATACTCAATGCTTTAACTTAAGATAGTCAAATAAACGTAAACTCCTAAAAATATTCCCTCTCCAATTTCCATGGTGTCCTCAGCTCCGCCGTCAATCGTACATTGGCACCTTGCCTTTACCTAAAAAATGTAGGTATCACGTGGCTTGAGTATTTTATGAAATACTCAGTAAGTCACCCAACTG